TGTGTGTGTGTGTGTGTGTGTGTGTGTGTGTGTGTGTGTGTGTATGTGTGTGTATGTATGTGAGTGTGTGTGTAGGTGGGTATGTTTGAACGAACACAATATGTATAAATGCATGTGTTTTTGTTTGTTTGTTTACTAATTTGTTTGTAAGCGCACGATGTGTTTGGCGTGTGAATGCGTGTGTCTGCGTGCGAATGATTTTTTTTTTAATTACGAAAGAGAAGAAATCACATAATAATAATAGACCTACTTGATCTACTTTCACAAAAACATAACAAGCTAAACTTACCTTCTATTTGCTGCTCTTTGTTGTTTAGTAATTTCATGGTTCCGTCAGAATGTAAAGATGCTTAGTTTCCTCCTAAACTGTACGCTGAGAGAATCAGAACCACATAAATATTCTCCCTCTTATTCTCTTTTATGAAAAAGTCGTCAGAAAAGTTGTTTTTTTCTTTATCGCTCCTGCATTTTATCATTCGACTAAAAGAAGATCGTGGACTCAACACCACTAGGAAAGAGAGAATCCATTAAAAACCATCATTTTTTGTCACTGTATTTATCCACAAAAGTCATATTATTATTATTATACATTTATATTACACTATGAAATCGGTTTGGGATAAAAGCACCAATCAATCAGTAAATCATAAATTTTAATTTCAGCCGTATCGAGCAATCAAAGAGAAACACGTTTTAATAATATCACTTGCTTCCACAATACTGTTTCATAGGTATCTGATAAAAAGAATATATTCAACATATTAATATCATGAAATTCCACACACCAAAATAAGAAAGAATATGTTTTAAATCTATACAGCATTAATTTTGTCTTCTTATATTATTGTAAATATCTAGAAGTGACTAGCAGAATGTTCCTTAACGTGTTTGTAGAAGTAACATCTCACAACTAATTGTCTAAAATACATTTTGGATTCCACAAAGCAGACTCATTCTACCACATTTCAAAAACGGTCAAAGCGGAATGACAGAGGTCTTGTAAAGATCCATGGAAACACTTTAACTTTAACACCATTTCTACTGGCAAGCACCTTTACTACACACCACGACAACTCTTGGCACAAATGCAGGACTGTTATGGTTTGATATGATGGAGGAAGCGGAATGATACAGGCTGGGTCAACGTTAACTACTTTATGACAAGAGATAAGCGCAGTTGTTTGTTTTTTTTTAGATCCGGGTAACCAGGTAAGGGCTTCTCTTCTTCTTCCTCCTCCTCTTCATTCGTTCTTCTCCTTCTTCTTCCTCATCCTCTTTCTTCTGCCTTCTCCTCTTTCTTCTTCTTCTTCTTCTTCTTCTTCTTCTTCTTCTTCTTCTTCTTCTTTTTTTCTTCTTCTTCTTC